GTTGATGTGGGGCTTGCCTTAAAACACATTCTCCATCAATCCCGCATGTGAATCAGCCCGACTGGACCAACTAGAGTCTGGGGTACAGCGATTTGCGCATGAGGTGGAGCTAGACTCTGACCGATGAGACGCCAGGAGCTGCCGATTGATTTTCGTGGGAGTCTTCGCTCTGTGTCGACCAAGCGACAATATGACTTTCCCACAACATTTCCCGGTTCCACGTTGTGTCAAGCGGAGTATCGATCGAGTTGCATTTAGCCTGAGTGAATCGATGTAGTATTGTCGGTAGTCAGCTCCAAGACCCTTGATGGACAAAGATCAAGACCCCCGACAAATAGCCTCGACTAAACCCGTGAACGATAAGCCGATGGGGATGGTGCCGAGATCATCAAACATGCCTTGTCCAAAACGCGACGAACAGGCTCCATCTCGCGCGTTTCGCACTCCCAAAATGCAAGTAGATCAACCACCTCTCCTACGGCGCCATACCAATCATTTGGTAGGGAATGTCCACCTTCAGCACCGCTAGACTGGGTGAGCAATGCTGCCGCAACCAATACCAGAGCGCTTCGGGAGCAGGATCGCATCATGGGCAACGTCCCATGATGGCGATGTCTGTACCCTAGACGGTTAATGGCGAGTCTATAAGCATGGTTTTCGAGACCTTTTTGAGCCAACAATTCCACATTTGGAGTAAGAACCTCGCCAGCGAACTCGGGGTTCGCCCCAAGTGCATCGAGGAAAGCGGTAGTAAATGGCCAGTATATCACCTCATAAAGGTTCACCGCGTGACCTCGGAGCACGAATCTGCACACATCATCCTCTTCCGGAGGCTCGGCGAATGAGAGACTGGAAGGAAGCGAGCTTATCCACTCTTGTGCTTGCTCCTCGTACTGCGGCACTGCCGCGGCCATTGCCGCGAGGTATGCTTGGCGCGTGGGATGTTCTTTCTGAAGGCCCACCATCTCGGCACTAATCCGAGAGACAAGCCTTCTGAGAGAGATTTCGGCCAAGTAGAAGTACCATGATGTTCTCTCGCGAGCCAGACGCGGATCCGTTGCCGCCTCAACTTCTGCCCTAGGCGCTGGCGGCGTCGGGAAGAAGGGCGGGTAAAATGCCAATTCCTGATCGCTGAGTGAGAAGTCTGGGAGGTAGAGATCCCCTCGCATCTCTCGCTCGGATTTCCATGAGGACCAGTAAACAGCCTGCTGTAGAGTATCGATGGAGTAATTCCGTGACTCGTCGCCCGACTCAACGTTTCTATGGTAGCGCTGCTGGGCCTCGGGGGTAAGAAACGAAAATTGCTGACAGCTAGCTAGCGCCTGCACGAAGTACCTCCACGCCTTGACAGGCTGAAATACGCACATCATGTAGACCCCTGAAAGAAACAGACATTGAGCCGCAATAATGTCATCTGACGACAGTAAAATCCCTAGTCGCTTCTGCGCGGCTTGGAAGAAAGCTTGAGCGTCGCTGTGGGCTGCGGAGCCCAGCATCGTCTCCTGGCTGGGCCCAAAAGGTGTGGCTAGAGAGCCTAATGCGCAGATCAGGAGAGAAAGGCAGGACTCAGCCGACCAGTTGATCCCTTCAAGTACCGTATGTGAGACCATTTTTCGCGTTGCTGTCTCGTCGAGAATCGGATTCTTGACATGGACGTAGCTGAAGAAACTATCGAGCAAGTCGTTGATTCGTCGCGGCTCCAGGTCGAGAGCGCCGATGAGGGACATTGGAGAATTCGCAGCTATCGAGATATGATCAACATGCAGAGTCATGTCTCCAGCATCAATACCGTGGCTAATCTCCTCAAAGATGGTCCATGACAGGACATGTTCTGGCCTCGGAGGGAGGATCATCCCCAGCTGGATAAGAGGCCCCACAGGAGGTGCTTCTATTGTCCGGTGCTCGACAGGGGCCTCGACCACTCGCGTTTTGTTGCTCGGTAGTCCATCAACTGTCACCGATCTCATCATCTCTTCCAGATCATCGAGTCTTTCCAAGATCTTGAGACTAGCCGGGTCGAAGCTGGACAGGTCTACGGGCGACTGGATGCAAGTAGCTCCAACCTTGAGGCAGAAAGAGCATGATGGCTTGAGATTGTCACATTTCGTTCTCCGAGCCCGGCATACTTGGCATGCCCTGACGGCTCTCTTCCGCTGATAGAATGCGGTTCCGCGTGCTGCTGGTCGGGTGTTGGTCTTGGACGTGGACTGTTCCGGCCGACTCCGGTCTAGGTCAGACGCGTCTGTGGCCGACGGCACGTGGCTGTCCGGGGCAGATGGGTCTGTCATCAGGAGAAGGAAAGGATCGCCAGGCGTACAATGGCTCAAATTTGTGGGGGATGAATAACACTACTTCTGGGAGGCGGTTCGTGGGTTGCAATGAGATGTTGGATGAGGTGGAAAGCTGGAGAAAAGACGGGGGAAAGTGTCGCGGAGTGTCGCTTTTAATGTTCTTTCCTATCGCCGTCTGGAGATTCTTGCCGGGCTAGCCAGAAATGGATTGCGGGGAAAGTCTGGGGCTCCACAACAGCCCGAGGATACGTACCTGCCGTTCCACGCTCTCGGATTTTCGAGGGCGGTGGTCTCGGCCCAACACGGAGGCGCGTGGACTGATTTTCTTCACGAGCCATTCCTCGACCTTGCCATATTGGGCGTTCGTTCGCCTGGCTGTGGCTTGAGCAGTCGCGGAATGTCGCTCATACGCCATCCGTCCTGTTGTCCTTGGACAAGGGGTTCAGCAAGAACTATCCGAATGACCTCAACACACTGAGGTTGCTCGGGATTATAGCACCATCACGAATAGGGTGTTCCAGCAACCTGACTGCCGTAATTAGGAGTTGGCAAAGGATATAATCTCCAAGACTTCCCCAGATTTCCTGGTGATCATTCTTTTGTTCCCCAGTCTCCGCCGCTCCTCGACCCTGGTTAGCCATCTTCAGTTTCCACATCGAGTCACAATCGAAGTTTGTCACATTCTGTGGCAAATCCCATCAAACATGGCAGAGAAGAACGACGTTTCGGATCACTTGGAAGCAAGTGTTTCCCATCATGATGCCAAGGGAATGGCCGTCGGTTCGACCAACCAGCAGGAGCATGATCTCACTGTGCGAGAAGTCTTCAAGAACCACAAAGCCATTGTCCGGTGGTGTTTCTACTGGGCAATGGCCGCCATCGGATGGTAAAACATACAGGATGACCTCCAAGAGTTGCAATTGGCTGACTACGCGACTCTTAGGGGGTTTGATGCGCAGATCAACGGTGCCATGATTTCCGTCGCATCCTTCAGGAGAGACTTTGGGTACGGATCCATACGCAATCTCCTGGCCCAAACCACCATCCTCGCAAAATTGCAAAGACTAACTAGAGACTCAACAGATATGTACTCGACGGCGAAGCGATTCTCCCCGCGGATTGGCAGTCCGCCTTCAACATCATCAGCACCGTCGGTCAGTTCTTCGGAGGCTTTGCCTGCAGTTGGCTCGCAGATAGAATCGGACGCAAGAATTCCCTCCTAATCGGCGTCGTCATCTGCACCGGCGGCTGCGTCGGCGAGATCCTCTCAGATACCAGGGCAGCTTTCCTCTGCTCCAAGCTGATCCTCGGCCTGGGACTCGGTTTCTACCTCACGCTTGCACCCCTCGCATGCAGTGAGCTGGCTCCCGTCGCCCTTCGAGGATATGCCACAGCTGGTGTTAACTTGGGCATCGCCCTTGGCCAGCTCTTGTCCAATGCTGTTGTCAAGGCCTTTGGAGAAAGATCCGATCGCTGGGCCTACCGTGGACCCTTCGCCACCCAGCTCTTCTTCGTCCTCTTCCTCGCCGTTTTCTTGCCCTTCACGCCCGAGACCCCCTGGTACCTTGCCCGCAAGGACAAACTGGAGCAAGCAGCAAAGTCACTCAAGAAGCTCTATGGGCAGGACTACGATGTCAATGCCAGGCTGTCTGGAATTGTGGCGACAATTGAGGAGGAGAACTTGAACCAAACACATGAGCTTGGATTTGTCGACTGTTTCAAGGGCACCAACCTTCTTCGGACAGGTATATCAACTGGTGTCTTTCTTTGCCAGCACTTGGTAGGTTCCTCCTGACCTTGCTGCGCCCGACTCTTTACTGACTCTAGACAAGGTCGGTATTATCTTTGTCCTCGGATACTCGACATACTTCTTCCAGCTCGCTGGCCTCGACGTCTCGAAATCCTTCGACCTCGGTGTGGGCGTCACAGCTTGCGGTGTCCTCGGAAACATTGTCAGTTGGTTCGTCATTGAGTCCTTTGGCCGCCGGAAGATCTTCATCTCTGGAATGGGAGCCCTGACCACGCTCCTCCTTCTCATTGGTATCATGGACGTCGTCCCCACGGATGCCGCAAAGTGGGTGCAAGCCGCCTGCACAGTCATCTATGCTTTCGTGTACTTCATGACCATTGGTGCCATGGCTTTTGCCATCCTAGGCGAGGCTTCCAGCTCTGTTCTACGCGCGAAAACCATGGCCCTTGCTACCGCTACCCAAGCAATCTGTGGCTTGGCGATGAACTTTGCGATTCCTTACATGGTCAACCCGGATGAGGGCAACTTGAAGGGCAAGGTTGGATTCATCTTTGGGGGACTGGCGTTGATTGGTACTGTGGGAAGCTTCTTCTACGTCCCTGAACTCAAGGGTAAGACCTTTGATGAGATTGACCGTCTCTTCGTAGCGAAGGTACCACCGAGAAGGATGGGAAAGATGTAAGCTACTCGAAAGACAGTGGATCACTATTAGTTATCATTGGATCAGTGCAGTTTATTAATACACGATAAAACGTGGTCTAATTATGACTGAACCAGTCCCCATTCCCTGTGGTTGCTTGAAGGCGACTTCTATCCACTGGCTTTCGAGGCAATCCAAGTGCCTATGTCAGATCGACTGCGAGAGCCTATCGGCTGCTTTTCTCTTCCATGCCAGATAGGTAGGTTCAGGGCTACAAGGAAGATTCACCTAATCTTCTACGCGAACCGCGGCGTTCAGTCTACTTTCTCGGCGAAGGCTGATCATACTCGCCAATGTAGAAAATCAAGTCATCTGGCTGAATTCCCTCCGAGTCCTCCAAACTGGAAACATACGCCCCCGTGACGTCCTTGCCCTCCATACTGTTCCACTCCCAGCACATCTTATGAACGTGCCAGTAAAACGGGTTGTCGGTGATCTGCCCCCATCCAATCTCGCCCATGTCGATCTGGAAGCTCGTCTTGGGTCCGACACCGCGCATCTGCCGGGCCTGCGCGATCGAATTCATGGCCCTGTACTCCATGACGTCGACGAACTGCACAGAGTCGAGGTCGGACAGCCACTTTCCCGCGCGTCCCCAGACACGGGCGATGATGTCGCGCAGGGAGACGCCCTTTTCGTCAAAGCCGTTGGCGACGAAGTCGACCTTGATACGGTTGCCGTCGATGCGGAACTCGTTGATGATGTAGCCGCCTGACGATACTGTCCACTTGTCGCCACTGTTGCTGACGCTGTAGCCGGCGTCGTCGAGCTCGTCGCAGTGGCCGAGGCACAGGAGGCCACAGAGAACCACGAGGCAGTAAAAGATTATGGACCGCATTGCTAGAAATGGTACGAATAGTTGGTCAAATGAGTGTGGAAGCAGAGAGCAGATGCTTCTTGAAGAAGTTGAATATGCATGAGACTTGGACCCGAAGTCGGCTAACGGGCAGGCGCTTAAATAGTGATCACAGTACTCAAGACACAGTTCTAATCAACTTACAATGCTACTTGCTATGTGAACAGCTTCAACTTCGTTACCCACAAAGCTCGTATCCATCTCGTTCGGCCCAAAGTCCGAGACACAAATGGAGCATACGGCGAGTTATGACACAGATAATAGCTTCGAAAAGTCAAAAATATACCGGTGATGATTGATTCGGTCTCTCCGCCTCCAAAATCGAACATCGCGTATAGACTTTTGTCAAATGGTCGGTGGAGCCTTGGAGCCGAGAACGCCGGCACCCATTTACAATAATTATTCCCAATGATGTTGACTTTGTAGTATATACTGTACTGTAGAAAGTGAACCAACGCACGGAGATGCCGTTCATTGCAACCAGCAAGGTTTTTCGGTGCATGGAACTGACGGGAAGTCTATTTTACATCGGCGCAGTTGAGGATAAACGCCCAGCCATATCCAGGATCACCAACTGGACCGAGCTGAGAACAGCCGGGGCTTATGAGGTGTGTGTCAACTGTCAGGTACGGCTGCGCACTTATATTAACTTTCGCGATCATACTATAAGTACAATCATGTAATTAACTAAACCCTTCCAACGTCTGAGCGTCGTATTTCACCCAAGCCGAAACACAATTATCGCGGAATTCCTTAGTCTCCATCCACCGTCGGCAGAACCCCATGCAATTAAACTACCGTAAGATACTCGGCCATGACGGCAATGGCGCAGAGTCTCGTGGATACGTCAGTCTTCTATAGGCTCCCAATGGTCCTAGTCATATAAGTAGCCAGACTAGGGAAGTCTCAGCCAGTACATCAACAGCTTACTGAACTCACTACTTCCTCTCTATCAACGACGACCTGGAGTATTTAATCAATCAGAAGCCACGCTCCCTACAACAACTTGTATTCATCATGCATTCCTTTTCTACCGTTCTTCTCTTCATCGCCGCGTTGGCCGGCCACTCTGTCGCTCAAAGTTGCACCGACCAGTGCGCAGACGTCTTTGCCGTAGCGAGCTCAGAATGCCCGCACCTCGGCAACACAAAAGAAGACGCCGACACCCTCAACGGCCCCAAGATGAGCTGGAAGAACAACATCTGGTCCACCCGCGGCAAGGATGGTGCCGTGGTGGAGATCGACCCCAGAGCTTGCACCCTGAGAACCTTTGGTGGCCGTGACGATTTCTGCGGCATCTGGATCGGCGGCAAGGAGGAAAAAGGAAAGGGAAACACTGAGGTCAAGCAGCCGAACGCTCTGTTGCAGATCCCTTTCAACGGTGGCTGCTGCAAGATCGACAAGGAATTCTGCAAGGATGGTGCTATTGACTGGGCGCAGTTGTTGAGAGTGAAGAAGGGGCCTGATGCATCCTAGGTATCGAATTGGATGTCACGTAGTGCAGGGTTTTTTCTTAAAAGAAGACAGAAAAGTTGTGAATATTAATTTTGGGTTCTTTTGCAAGTTAAAACCATCATCAAAATAGCTTTGCTATATTTACAGGTGCAACCTACATGGATTCACGTATGATTGTTTGCTCAAGTAATCCTTCACCAGCACTATTTACAGCATCCCGATTATCTGGACTAGTTGCGTCTCTTCCAGAGTCTTATCATTGCAATTAAGATCCTGAAGTAACCCGCTTTTCAAACTTTGTCTACTTCGCAACTGTGTATCGAATATTTGGCTGAGGTGGCGTCTTCATATCCTTGCCGAGAAAATAGTCGACATGGTGAGATTGCATGTACCCCTTCAGAGTCATTGCATTGCGGTATGCAGGATTATGAGCCAGAGTATACAAGCGGATATCGCTCGGCTGGTCCGTCGTGAAGATTAGCAACTCATCGGCAGCTTCATTGGTGACAATGACTTCCTCTCTCCAGTCACCAAGGATGTCACCAATAAAGTTAGGATATCTGCCGGCAGTCACTCCGCCGAAATCGCTGACTCTCAATATTCGAGGGAGACTGTTAGAAGTACTAGGATTTTCCCAATCCCACTTCTCAAACTTGCCATCGTTGAAAAGTTCGAGCAGCTCGTCCCCATCCCACCAAAGACCAAGATGGGGCCAAGGGGCGAGCTCAGTGTCCGACTCTGTGAGCTCATTCTCTTTGGCGTTGTAAACTCCTGAGAACGACCATACTTCCATGCCCGGATGGGTTGGGTCAATGTCACCGACCATGCCGCGGGCAACGTCGGTCACGTTGTTGCCGACGTGCTTCCAGATGATCTCGCCAGATGACCCATCGTAGTAGTACTCGTAGATCAGATCTGGGTTTCGCTGCTGCACGCCGTACCCCTGAAGCCCTTCACGATTCGGGTCAATCTTGGCGAGATGGAATCGATCGCCGTGGATGATACCCTGATCCCCGAGGGTGTACCTCTCCGTGCCATCTCCATTCAAGGCAAAGCCGATCTCAAGGACCTCATCCTTTCCGTTCCCATCGAGATCAATGATGCGCGTGTTGTGCCCGTCAGGAAAATTCTTGTAGCCCCGGTTCCACTTCCACTTCTGCTTCAGAGATGTACCGTCAAAGGTCCAGGTCACATACATCAAGTTGAAATCGCCAGACCCAATGCGGTTCTTCATATACGCAACCAGATGGGGTGTCTCTCCGTCCAGAAACCCAGCACCAAGGCGGGCGGCGAGCGGTCCGTCGTCAATGTAATCCGTAGGAACCGGGGCGAAGGCTCGAAGAGCTCCCGTGCGCCCGTCAAGAATAGCCATGGACTGGTAGTTATTCGTTTCTCCATCGCCGAATGTCTTCCCGTCCCCAAACACAACTCCATTGGCAATACGAATCGCAACTTCGGCGCGTCCATCACTGTCGAAGTCGAAAACGGTGACACCATCCCAATGACCAACGTCAATTGTCGATGATCCCGGCTCTATGTTGTTTTGATTCTCGCTATTTGGACCAAGACTGACTTCCCAGAGAAAAGTCCCATTACCGGTGTAAGCCTCAATAGTCTGTGGAGAAGTCTGTCTGTCGAGAACATAGTCCCACTCGCCGTCTCCGTCAAGATCACCAACCCAGACGAATTTGACAGCGCCACCGCTGCGGATAGGGACCCGGACAACCGGCTCGACCGCATTCTTGGCAGGTAGACTGAAAGATCCGCTAGCATCTTGTTCTTTGCCGTCAATGACGGGCCGTACGAAGTAGGTATTGATTTCATCCGGATTAGCGGTAAAATCAAGGAAATTGGTGCCGCTCGTGAGGATCTTGTCGTTGAGTTTTGTCGGGGAAGTCGCCGTGACACGATAGACGTTGAAGCCGATTCCTGATGGATCCAGTCCAAGAAGACGCCAGGTGACCAAGATGGCTTCGTCGCTTGCGCGCACAGCAACGACGCCTCGGCCAAGATTTTCCAAGGGCCGGGCCGCTTGTGTCAAGAAGGCAGTAGAAAGAGCGAAAGAGGCTGAGAGAAGGTTGAGAAACTTCATAATTTCAGCCTTTCAAGACACCTTTGATGAGTAATATGGACGTTTCAACCCGTGCTGTTGTCCTTGAATCACTTAGATCTACCTGGATTGACCGAGGAATGAGCTGTATAAGTAGCTACTAGATTATACTGACTCTGTCTATACGCACACAGGCTTGTTGACGCCGTTCACTTGAATGATCTCAACTCAGTCCGAACTCCCGTTAGTCCACTCCGTTTCCGTCGTTGCCAGGCTCATTGTCTTGATGCCGCAGTCTCTCCAGATTTACAGCTCAGTAAATGACACGGGCGATTTGCCTGATGTCACGCAACCACGGCACACCCTCCAATGCCCGACTGCCATTGGAGGAGTAATAATGCCTACCTAGACTCGGCAAAGTGGGTACCCGAATCGTCGTCGCTGAACGTCAAATGGTTGCCCGAGCCACTCATTCCGAATCAACGCTTCCACAGCTGGGCCGTCAGCGGCACTCAATATCTCGGTTCAATTGAGCCGGAAATCGGGCCAACATCAAACAAGGACCACTCTCACCCCATGGGGAAGACATACATCCAAGCTGCTTCAATGCACCCCGCAACTCTCAATGCTAGCGGCTAAGAATGGTACACCAATCGTCAAGACCTAGTAATCGTTTGGGCCTTTGTCGCTTTCTATCATCTTGTGGTTGATAGATAAGCTAGGATGGAGAATGAAAGCAATCAAACGATGTGAAAACGTGTTGTGAAGGACACACCCACAATCTTCGGTAAGCCAAGACCACTTGCAACTCATCTTGAAGCAACTAGAGCCTCTTATCCGTGTCCACCTGCTCCATGATCTTTCCAACATCCTTCTCTGCACTTTGAAGATCTTGATGTACAAGGCCCTCAACCCATGGACCTCTAGGAATGAACAATGCTTCAAAAGGATTTGGCCCAATAACGAAGCCCGCCGGCATCATGGACATCGGATCAACCACTTTCTTCTTCAGTGTGACCGGATCCGTTGTTTGCTCAAGACGAAATGCCCAAATGAGCCGGGCAAACAATATCCATAGACCTTCTCTGCCTACATGCCTGCCTGGGCAAAGTCGTCTTCCGTATCCAAAGGCGGTCCTGGGTAGGTCTCCATTCTCGATCCATCTCTCCGGCCTGAAGTCGTCGCAGTCCGCGCCATACACCTCTTTGTCCCGCGTAATCGCCCACTGGGAGTGAATTATCGTCGCTCCCGCCGGAATTCTATATCCCTTGTACTCATCTTCCTCAACGGCCGCATGGTCCAGCCCAGCTGGTAGGATAGGTCGCCACCGCATGACTTCCTCGATCATCGCGTCGACATATGGCAGCTTCTCCCGGTCTTCGAAAGCAGGCAAGCGATTATGACCAACGACTTCATCGATCATGGCCTGAGCCTTGCCAAAGACATGCGGATACGTCAACATGGCAACGACGAACCAGCACAGAGTGGCGACGCTGGTATCACCATTGGCTAATGTCAACGTTCCAACAACCCACGCCTGCTCAGTCTCGCACATGCCCATATCCGAGATATCAGTGCTGTCGGCAATTTGTTTGCTCAGGTTATAACCGGGTCTTTTCAGTGCGCTACGAAAATTGCCCAAGTAATGAGCCTCCTCGCGCTCGAAGAGGACCTTTGCTGCCCGTTTCCACGGAGAAATGGCGTAAGAAAGATGTTTTAGCCAAGGGAAGATATCGTACCATGTTTGCGTAGTCTTCAAGACTACCGAGGTTGGGGCGACGTCGAAGAATTTAATTTGTGCTTCATGCTCGGGATTGCCTCTCAGCAGCCGATAGCCCCAAGCTATCATGCTCACGTTGCTGGATGCTGCGCGTCGGAAGTGCCAGTGAGGGTTTACAGCAGCTCCCATTTGCTTCTCGCTGCTTTTCTCTTGTATCTCTGACAACAGATCGTTCAGCAGCTGAAGCGATTCCAACTCTATCAGAGGATGGTACGGCGCCACGGAGCGAGGGTTGAGTCCCTTAGCATGGAGCCGTTGATGGAGCCGGAACTGGGTATCGTACTGTAGAAAGAGAATGTTGTAGTTGTTACAAACGAGCTCTCCTGCGTAAAGACTGAATGTGCGTCCTGAATAACTGCTTGCTCGCTTGTTCAAAAGATCGTGAGCCGCTTCGACCGTTGTAAGGACGATGTGAGACTGGCCTCCCTTTTCATAATGCACGATTGGTCCGTACAAGTACTTCCATTGGTAATGGGTCAACCAGTTGAAGCATATCTCTGGCGCATTGAAGAAATTTCCGAAAATTGGCAATCGAGGCGGTCCCGGGGGTAAAGAAAGGGTCTTCTTCATATTTAGTTGTGAGTTTTGCCGAATGTGGGAGACTAGTAGATAGAGGACAATAGAGATAAACGTGAATACGAGCAAGGCCATAGACATCGACGTACAGGCTGAAGATGCATACTTGCTGCCGAGAGGTTCCATAGTGAGTTTCTTGATGAATATCCTTTAATCAATGAACCAGTGTAGATTGAAGAAGTGGTTAGATAACACAAAACATGAAGGGAAAGGGAGTTCAAATATCCGCCCTTGGGAGGCGGTAGTAACAGCCTCTCGTTCGACGCGGGTCGTTTACTCTCCATGTTGTGAAACATTATATGCAAATCATACGTATGATGAGAGATTGAGTTTTCGTGTCAAGAGCCTTATTTCTCACTCACATTTCGTGCAACACAGTCACACGTAGACGACTGAACATATCGCTTCAGCCATCAGCATACTGAGGTTATATAATTGGTCAGGAAATGGAGGCGTTTAGCAAGACTTGTTTACTGATATCACGATAACATCTAGTGCAAACACAGCATGTCTAATTGGCCGATGACAGATGATAGTCCGCTGCCGCTCTTTCCCCGGAGCGTAACAGCGCATACGTATGTGAAGCACAACAGCAGCCAAGTCAACTTACCCTCTTAGGCGCGCTCCGTGATCTCCCTTCATCCAACAACATCAGAGAACACATCGGCGAGGTATCCGCCAGGTGACGTTGGCTTCCCATACTTATCGGTAGCCATGCTCTCCATCGCGGGAGCAGCCACGTCCCGCATGTAACCGGCAATCTCTTCCTATTTGAATCTCTCCGCAAACTGCTTGGCATGCAGGCTCAAGCCCTGCGTAGCCCAGATTGGCTGTACCTGCTACATAATACCCATTTTTACAATGTCCGCGGGGAAGGTCTCGACTTCTTCCGGAGAGGACTCGCTCTTACTAAAGTCGTATGCGCCAGTGCCTCCAGGCAGAGAGGCGGTATAGAATCCGTGCATATCTTCCTTGTCTGCGACGCTGTTTGTCAGCGCATGCAGGCTTCTAGAGGCATATTCAAACTTGTCTGTGAGACATACTTGGTTTATCTACATCAAGTTAGTCAAGCGATTGGGTTCTGAAGGGCTGGGGGGACGTACTTTGACAGCTTCACGTAACGTCTCCCAAGGGAGCTGCGGGAATACATCAGTCAATGACAGCCTCTATACTCCCTTGCCACATGTACTGGCCAAGAGGTGCCTTTTGAAATTCCCAGTCGAACGTGATGTCCTTCCCGAGAATGCGCTTGGCGGTCGCTCGCCAGTCTTGCAACGCTATGAACGTATCTCTAACCTCTTTCATTCAGGCATTGTACTGTTCCTCGGTCACTATGGACTTAACGGCCTCGTTAGAGGTCATCAATCCAGCGGAGGCTCTCCATCCCTTTTTGACTGCCACTTAATCCCTTCCCGCAAGCTTTCCAACCTCCAAGGCTTGGATGAAGGAAGAGACTGCGTCGACCGCTCTCAGAACACAAGGTTTCTTCCCTGGGGCCGATCACACTGGAGAAAACTTAGGCAGTTTCCGAATATCAAGGAGTTCTCCGGCTTCTTATCCCACCTCGTGATGAACTCAGCATGGTCGCTGTCACATCGGCATAGGATCATCGTGTCCACCGTGTTGGCCGCGTGTTAGTCTGCCTTCTTTATTGTCGATGGACACATATGGACTAACCCCATAATATCGAAAGTCATCCTGATAGTCATCAATAATTGCCTTTTTACGCCGGAAGCTGGCCGCTACCGAAGCTCAAGCCGTTGAGGATGCTAAGAAACTCGGCCGGCCCGACATTCCCACCATCAAAGTGGGAAAGACATACCCAAAAATCTACAAATATGTCATTTATCTCGTTCCAACATTTTCAAATCCCAGCGGAAAGACGCTTTGCCCCCAGACCCGCAAGGACCTTGTCGCGCTTGCCCGGGAATACGATGCCCTCGTCGTATCAGACGATGTCTACGACTTCCTGAGCTGGCCCGAGGACTCATCTACTCCAGACGACGCAGTCGGAGCTGTGCCGCCGAGGCTCGTCGACATAGATCGCAATATGCCCGGCTACAGTACATGGGGAAACACCCTCAGCAACGGATCTTTCTCCAAGGTGATCGGGCCTGGTGTCAGAGTTGGATGGGCGGACGGCACGCCGGCCTTCGCCAGAGAATTGGCCGAGGTGTAAGTCTCTGCCCTGAGCTTCTCCATGCAACAAGCCAAAGAAGCCCGTATGATGGTACTAACTCCTGGGCAGAGGATCTTCTAGCTCCGGCGGTGCACCCTCACACCTCACTTCCACTTTCGTCGACAAGATGCTGCGAAGTGGCAGTCTGCAGACACATATCAAGAAGACTCTCATACCAACATATCGTGAGAGATGCCGCGCCCTCATGGCCTCTATCCGTGAGATTTTGGTGTCCTTAGGTGTCACAGTTGAAATCAATAACCCAGAAGATGCCGCGCAAGCGACGACAGGAGGCTTCTTCACATACCTCCGGCTTCCAGAAGACCTTCCAGTGGCACGAACAGTGGCAGCCATAGCCTTGAAAGAGAAATTCCTTCCCGTCGCATTCGGACACATGTTTGTTGTCAGTGGGGACAAAGGGAGCGTTCAGAGAGCAGAGTCGAAGAATGGCTTTTCCAGATGCATCAGACTATGCTGGGCGTGGCATGAGGTAGCTGAGCTCGAGGAAGGTATTGAAAGACTAGCTGCTACCATACTGGATATCAGATCTAGATTGGAAGCTGGTGAGATTATTAGTGAGCAGGTCTCCATCGGAATAAGGTAGTCACGGAAAATACGGACTCTGTACTTCAGCACTCGCTTGTCGAAAGCGCTTCAATTAAGTTACCACAAGCTCAGATCCCTTCAAGCATAGGCGGCCATCACGGTCGAGAGCTGGCATAGATCACATCTGTGACGAAACCAGAGGCACTCCGATGAAGTATCTTCAAGTATGCAAAGCATAGTCTGGCGATTATTTGATACGCTGCCAGCATGTTTTCCATAGCAATCGCTTGAGTATCAAAATTCATATGGCTGACCAGTATGTTCGAAGAGCATATGATTGATCACAGAACGTTCAGGCAACACATGGAACAAGTAATGTCAACTCGAGATAATTGCAGATTCAGCTCTACTTTCGACTATCTTCGAATGTTCCAATGATCCCCTAGACTTTCCAGGTTGATAGCATATCAGTGCTGTCTGCAAATGGAACCACGCGTGCCACCATGCACGTCCAATCCTGGGTTTACGCCTCCAACATTTGCTAGTCAAATGATACTGGAAGAGTTTCTAACTGGCTCGATATCCCCAGAAAGTCTTCCCTCCATTTCCTTCTCCTTCTTGTTCACTTCTCCCTCCACGACAGTTTCGGAAGCAGCTTGTTCGCCAGCAGCTTTTGCTTCTTGTCACAGCTGATGCTTGTGCAAGAAATCCGCAATGACTGGAAGGGTTCCCTGTCAGTTTGTCCTGAAGGTCGCACTTGGGGGTCGTTAAAATGGGGGAACTTACGGACTAAAATCACGGCCGCGAGCGCGAATGATAGGATAGAGGGGAAGCCTCGCTCAAAGGTGGGTGCCATGGTCTGCGGGAAGATGAGAATAGGCAAATAAGAGTCTACATCGTTAGTCAATTGGCGAGGAAAAGGTCTGTTGCCCCTTAGGTTTGACTCACTGGTCGCGTAGAATAGTCTATTCATGCTGGAGATAGTCAAGGCACGCTCTTCCGCGTTCCCATTGTTCACCTCATTCGCCCACGTCTGTATTGCAGTTAGTTTCACCACTTAATTTGCTAGCATATGCACCCCAACGCTGTCTTACCCAAGTAACAGCCGTAACATAACCACAAGGTGGTCAGCGACGATGTCCTCATCATGCCCATGATCGAGACCAGAGAAGGTGTTGAAAACGTAGAGTGAGTACACACAGCCTCACGCAACGGGGAAAGAATCCCACGTGGATGTTGTTGGGGTTAACCGCATCACAGAGCCATCGCTGCCGTGCCGGGCATCGATGCCTTGTTCATCGGCTGCGCAGATCTCTGCATGGAGTATTTCAGCCCTCATTCCGCCGTAGAAAACGACCCGTGTATGACATTTCGAGACTGAAGCTGACGTTTGGTTATCCCAGGCTCGCAGTCCCTGGGCAATATGACTCGGAAATCTTCTACTCTACCGTTGCCAAAATCGCCGACGCAGCAGAGAAGGCGAGCGTAGATGGACGAAAGGTGTTCGTGGGACTCGGCGGGTTGGAACCGAGGCCAGACCTCCTGGAGGCACTAGCGAAACGGCATGCTTCTATTCGGTAAGTGTTTCCTTCGCGTCGGTGTCCCATTCGTTTGACGAGGGAAATCGCTCACATCATCAACCTCAGATTCGCAATGGCAGGCCGTGATCTGGCTCTTTTACTCGCATGCATGTCAAAACAAGCGGCGTCAATGAACGAAATTTCGAACCAACTCCAATAGTTATTTGAGCCAACCCCAAAGAAGAAAAGGCAGACAAGGGAATCCTCCTAGCAAAAAAAGACTATGGCCACTAAAACACAAACCGGCCAAACCCGAACTCCGCCGAACTATTCCCCGGCTTCCAAATCCCGGGTAGCAAACCATTCTCGCTCGCAATGCAAAAGAGGGTAAAATGATTTTTGAAAGAGAATCGTGTCGTCGTTGGTAAGGTGTAGGGATTTTTGGATCGATGAAGGCGTGGGGCATGAGAACTACTCGTCTCTCCATGCGTTTTCGGCATTTTCGACATTTCTGAGCGAAGAGGGCTCAATCCTGTTGGATCCAGTGCGAATACGGCCCCGTTGTCCCTCTCCCGTGGTGCCATAATGAGGGTTCAGGTCGCTGTATCTCACAATGTCTTCAGATTCCTCACCACTGTCATGGGCTGAGTGTGTGGAGATTGTAGCAGTGAGAAGAGGTCTGCGCTGGCGCTCTTCGATCGGACGCTCTGAGAGGTGGCTCCAGGGTTGCGCCCACCATGCGTGTCTCCAGTTGCTGGCACTCTGCATAAAGAGCAGCGTCAGAACCTGTGACGAATGTCTAATTAGCCCGGAACGGCTGTGGCCTGGTATATATCTATATCAGACATACCTGTAGCACACCCACGGTGATGACGATGCCTAAGTCGATGGAGGAATTCCGCACCGTTGCGTCCCTCCACGGTCCGATGCAGGCAGTATCTCGACCAGTAATTTCGGCGCACCGGGCATTAGCACCGAATGGCCAACCGCGGTCCTTGACGCTGTTCAGGCCACAGCAATTAAGGCTATCCTGGATGCGCCTGATGGTCGACTCATCCTTGGCGACAAACATGCGCTGCCAGCTGGTAGACAGGGCGCAGTTTAGGCCATCGCCGGGAAGAGCGGTTTGCAACAGGATAACGGCGACAGCGGTGGTCAAGATGCCTTGAAGTGTCTGGATAATGGTAGGAAACAGCTGCTCGGTCCGAGCGAGAGAGTTGCTCGCATTGAATAGCAGGCGCGGGTAGTAAAATGCGTTTATAGTGCCAAGGATGGGTAGCAGAATCGGAAGCAGAGACAAGAACGGAGAGATGGGAAGGGCGAGATTGGTGCTCGTTACGTGAACGACGCTGTGAAATGATTAGCAGAGAAATTTGCGGTCGGTGATGTTTGAGAACTCACATGGCCGTTGTCAGCAGTCCGATGCAGATCTGTAGAAGTATTTTGGTTAGATATTACCTGACATCGTTCATGGTTTCAAATGGTGTTAGTGGATGCCGGCTGTTGGGGCTTACCAGTAGAAACACTACACCTGGATTGACCCCCATGATGAGCTTTTGAAGACGAACGAGCGCGCAACAACACCAGATCGCTTCCGACCGTTGGAACAGAATTTGTTTAGCAATCAGTGTATGAACATTGATGAGAAGGCGTCTGGCTTCACATGTGAATAAGTAGTAGACGAAAGAAAGAGAGTGAGAGTTGGGAAGAAGAAAAACGGGAAGAGGGAGGGTGTGGCGCCGTTCGTCGCCCCTCCAAGGAGACCCCAAGGGACCCAAAGGTGCCGATCGCTGCGCTGGGGTGGGAAGCTGCTTGATGCGGCCAAAATCGAACATGCCCATTTGCGGCACCAGCAGCGTTGGCAGCGAGCAAGCGCCCACAAGCACCGACGCCAGACAGCATCCAGTCGTCCCAAATCTTCCCAAAAGAACTTTGCCGCAGTCTTTCGACGTCATGGCTCAACCCTCCGAGAAGCTTATTCCCTCAAACTCCAGCACGCCATAGGCTGGAGGCACTTTCGTACGAAGGACCAGTCATCTCTACAGACTGGGTGAATCTGGTCTTGGGTGCACCCTGGATGACTGGATGCCGCCGTGTAGCACCAGATGGACACGCCAACGCTGGAGGCCCAACACCAGTGTGTCAGTGTGCCATCCAGAGAAGAAACAGAAGAAGTGTGTGCGCGAATCTGCGAGAGACTGTTGGACCCCGCATGCCGTACGACCAGCGACCGCAGTCACGGAGGCGCAGGCCGCCCATCCCGCAACCCTCCAATGCCGATCCAACGTCCTTCCAGCTATTTCTGACCCGAGTGTCGAAGGCGAGGTGTGTTGTCCTGAATGTATCCCGTGCATTCGTCCATCAAATGACGCGACAGAACTGATTGTTTTCTGTCGGTGCCGCGCTGTCCACGTACAGCCTTTTGGCGGTGTGTCGGACGATGGATTCGACTCCAACCTCCTCACTCTCTTCCTGGCGACGAGGGAGGCATACAGGCAGGCAGTCAGGCAGACTCCTCGCGCGCATCAATCAGTCTTTGACGGAGTGTAGGGTAAGCTGATGATGACGCCAGCGGCAGGGAGGCAGCTTTCGGGAAGCTGTCTAGCTGCCCGTCCAGACTCCTCCATGGCCCCATCGAGATGCTTATTACCCTTGCAGTAGTACTCCGTGCGTTTGCGTTAGCCCTCTCGATAGTGCTTTTTTTTTCGCACATGCATCGCCAGGTCAATAACCCTCCGAGCTGCATTTGGTTCGCCTGCCAATGTTTGATGAGGAATGCGTTAAATCCCCAGGCTCATGATATCGGTTGCGGCCGCAGACAGGAATAAGGACTGAGACATTTCCAAACGGTCTCGCCCGCCTGAAGGCCTTTCCGTCGGCCGATATGTTACTACTTGAGGTAGATACCAGGCCCGATGCTTATAAGTTGTATCTGTCTGCTGCCTGAAGTGACGGTTCTTAGAGGACACAGCCTACGAGGCGGAGAGCTTGTCAATGCGAATTCGAGTGAGTCAAAGATGATGAGGCCTAGATGTGCGATTTTAACACCAGAGAGCCGAGTATTATGGTATGAGACAGAGGGGCACCACAGTCGAGTAATTATTGCCGGTCGATACCAACTCTGGCGAGACAAATCCATGTGCTGGGGTAACTAACAAGCAGCTAGCTGTCTCCGGAACAAGCGTGGGGTTGTATTGGAGGAGGGTCGCGCAGAACTCTGCCTAGCATTTTCAGATATGTTCGGTACACCGTATGGCCACCAGCTGCTGCCAGTAGTCGACGAAGTCCTTGGCGTTCAATCCAGGTTGGAGGCAGAACGATATGCCACGAGGTCTAGGGGTATAGCAAGGGGTTTGGGGGCGGAAACGACAGCCTCGGAGGAGCTTCAACTTGCAGCATGGACGGACCCACAAGGCTGAATGAATGTTTCCAGATGCCGCCCGGCTCCCAAGATGCCCAGCCGGTAAAGAGTCGCCGAGGTGGAGAATGATTCCGGTGAGAGAACCGGCTTGGCTTGGAACGCTGACGACGCTGCCGTCAGGGAGCTCGGGTGGTATCGCAGTAATCTTTGTTTCTCCTCGAACACCCCCGAATTGAAAGTGTCTTTCAGGTCTGATTGGTTGTATTCACTGCTCGGAGCGTCGTCTGACATTATTCAAGAAATGATCGAATGGTTGAGCTCGGATTCTCCAACTTGAAGCCATGGAGAGCATTGTCGGTCCCAGAGTGCCATCGAAAAAAACGTCGGACACCGTTTTGGCAGTCGATTGCCAGGCAGGCATGAAAATACCGGGCAAGATAATGGGTAGTCCATGTGCTAGAAGCCAATCGAGGCCGATGATCAAGCGCCATCTGATGGTGGTGTTCGTGTGTTGAGACGAACTTGACCAAGAGATGTGGGCTACGAGCTAAGGGAACACTGAGTGCCGGAACTTATGTAAGCAAACCTCCAGCCAAATAAGGGAGAGAGACTGAAATTCAATTCGTCAAAGCTGCTTGAGCTCCCCGCCAATCTAATCTTAGCGTCTCCACTCCGCAACCCCTCCATCGGAGAAGGTGCGGCAGGTGTGGCAGCAGGAGCTGAGCTGACGGGAAGGAGGGGCAACTCCAGTCCACAGCTTGTTCCTGCCACCTGCTGTTGCGCTGCTGCTACCTTACGCGGCGTGCATCAGCCAAGATTGACGTCGTCGTTTCCCGCCATCATCTTGCCGGGATTCCTGTTTGCGACCATCTCAATCTCTCTCCCTTTAATATCTACACATACCCCGCATACGTAGTGGACATCTGAGGTCAGAACCATTATCCTCACGTCCGGAAGAGGCAATCTAGAGAGACAACCGCTGCGGAAACGTCACCAGCAATGGCCTCACTAACTTCAAAGTTTGCCAACCTCAATCCCTTCTCCAAATCGGCGCCAGAAGATGAAGAGGAGCTCGGCGATGCGACCGACAACACCACCTTGGCTGGCGGAGGCCACGCTGCACGCGACTCAGACCTTAAGCACCGTCTCCGCGTGAGCCGTGCCATCAAGTCTTTCCTTGTCGATCAGAAGGCCATCTCCTCCAATGAAGCAAACGTCGACTCAGAACAGCTCACCCCCGAGTTGCAAGCCCTCGTGTACAAGCCTCACATCAGCGTGCCCCGCGAGCTTACTGATAGATCCCACCCATTGCCCGAGTACTTCATCAGCTCCAGCCACAACACCTACCTTCTGGCCCACCAGCTTTATGGAAGCTCTTCGGCAGAGGCCTATGACGAGACGTTGCGTGCTGGCGCGCGATGCGTCGAGATCGATGCCTGGGATAACCCCGACAACAAGGACGAGCCCAAGGTCACCCACGGATACACCCTCGTCTCCAACATCCCTTTCCGCACCGTCTGCGAGACCATCCGAGATGTCGTCGACCAAGAAGCCAAGGAACCACATCCCGCTGCGCCAATCCTTCTGTCTCTCGAGAATCACTGTGACCCTGAGGGTCAACTGCGCCTGGCATTCATCATGAGAGAGGTCTTTGGAGATCGCCTTCTTAGCCAAGCCATCAGAGAAAAAGGCCACGCCGAGCAAGAGGGCCAGGCCAACCATGTCCGTCTGGGGGAACTCGGCAACAAGATTGTTGTCATTGTCGAATATCACTTCCCTGGAGAGGCCGACGACAGTAGCTCGAGCTCAAGTGATGATGACGAGGAGGAAAAGAAGGCCAAGAAAGACTACAAGGAGAAAAAGAAGGCTGCGCCTGCTTCGCTGATTGTCCCAGAATTAGAGGCACTCGGCGTCTACGCCCAGTCCGTCAAGCCCATCAACAATTCATGGTTTGAGGAGGTTCTGCAAGATGCGCCGCACCATCACCTCATCAACGTCTCCGAGTCTGGGCTGGCCTCCCATCTGCCGACGCACACTGACAAAATCTCCCGCCACAACGCTCACCATCTGATGCGTGTTTTCCCCAAGGGAACTCGCATCTCTTCCAAAAATCTCCATCCCGTTCCCTTTTGGGGAATTGGCGCCCAGATCTGTGCCCTCAACTGGCAGACATTTGGAGCATCAATGCAGCTCAATGAGGCGTTATTCGCCGGTTCCGAGGGTTTCATTTTGAAGCCCGCCGAGCTCCGGCCCGGTGGCTCGGGCCACCTCAGCAACGGAAGGAAGCGAAAACTCCGTCTACACGTCGGCGGTGCCACCGACATTCCCGTGCCGTCCGATCGCGACGAAGACGAGACAATCAAGCCCTACCTCACGTGCACGCTTGTACATCCTCATGATCTCGATATCAAGCCTCCAAAGAGGAAAACGGCTGGCTACAAACAGCACAAGCTGACAGGATTCTTGCACAAGGGAGAGAATCCACCACCCACCGACCCGCTATGGGACGAGGTCCTAGAGTGGGAATACCAAGACAACGAAATGGTTTTCTTGCGGATGCTCATCAAGAGTGATGACAGCTTCGCCAAGAACCCAATCTTTGCCGTTGGCGCGGTACGACTGCTCTACACGATACCGGGCTGGGTCTTTATCCGCATGCTTGACCTCAAGGGAAGAGAAACCAAATGTTCCATCCTTGTCAAGTTTGAGGTTGTCGACGCGTAGAGGTAGCCATGTATACGCTAACTGTTTCGAGTATCTCCCAAAGCTTTCGTAATATAACACGCTTGCCATTACTTGTCCGATCATTGTAAGGAGTGATGTGCGATTGAGATCGTCGTAGCTAGTGCCATATGGATCTCTACTTCGCTAAACAGCGTATTCACAGAAACGGATATGAGAAATTGCCACAGCATTTGATCCAAGTAACATACATAACTTCCCTTGCACGCGCGCATCATGCAGCCTGATCAGCGGCACATGGCACGACCTCGTCCCGATCCTGAACCTCCCCCGCCAAGAAACCACTGCCTTAGTAAGCGACTTTTGACCCCAAGACAGAGACATGGACGGTGTTGAGACCTATGAAGGTTTCGAGGCACCGGGCCTACTGCTGTCAGTATGGTTGGTGTGGTGATCGAGTCCGGTTAGGTGTTGGACACATCCCGCCCATGTTCGTGTACTGTA